CCCGGCCCGCCCCCCGGCCCCTGCCACTCCGGGGCCCGAAACCCTTGAACAAAATGGCGAAACCTAATATGGCCGTTCCGGAGTGATTGACGCCCAAATAACACTCTTGTGTCTTTTCTTTCTCTGTCTCTCTCGTCTCTTGCTCTTGTTTCCCTTCTGCAGACCGAGTGTGTCAGCAGCCAGGACTTTCTCTCTGGGTTCCCTTCCAAAACGCAGCCACCGCGGTCACCAACCTCTACAAAGGTAAAAGGAGCTCGTCGCTGTGCCATTGGTGGGGGATGGGCTCCGGCACCAGGGCGATGTCCTGACTTCCAAGTGGTTTGGGGGGGCGTGGGGGGGGGGCAGACCCTCATCTCAAGGTTGGGTTCAGCCACGAATCGGTAATAAGGCGCCACTGGCCAGTTACGGTGCGGTTCGATTCGGGGGAGGGCCGATTTGGATCCACCCCCCTCGACATTTCGCTAGGCCTGGGGATGAGATTCTGGTTGTCAACAGCGAAGGGGCTGGAGCTGCGGTTGGCATCTTGTTACCAAGTTCAGGGATGCTGCTGAACGCCCTGCAGAACCCTTCCCCCAACAAAACTCTCAGTCCAGAGTGTCACCAGGGGTGGGTGGGTTGTTGGCTTTGCATGCTGGAAGGGCAGCCAAGTTGATGGGTTGAAAAGCATACCACCCCTGGCGAAGACGGCTTGATTTAGGAAGCTTCACAGTTGGATGACATTTCAGGGAGAACTACCTAATGGGAACCTAACTCCGCACTTCCTGGTACCTGATTGTAAATTGCAGGCTCTTCCCGGTTTGGGTTTCATAGGTTCCAGTTCCTGGAGGTGACTTTCTGGAGTTATTCTCCCCCACTTCCCTCCATGATTTGAACGTAAACATCTTGGAAACATGGATTTAGATAATTGTTTTAGGACTTTTCAGAGAATATTCAGAAATTTGTGTTCATTCCCCCAGCCTCCTTTCACAAGGTTTTTATGGGAAAAGGATTTAATTTGTTGACCTTAATGTTTATTTAGCGAAGTCCAGTGTGCTTTGAAACTTTTCGAAGCTGCCTCTCAAGTAGCACTGGAAATGCATGCACCTCCAAAATGTCTAAATAGGGAGGGAGGGTGCAGTTCTTCGAGGTGGGATGAGCACAAAAGCAGGTAGGAGTGATGACTGCCTTCTGTGGGAGAGGTCCCCCTGTTGTGAAGCTGTTTGAGCAGACTGCAGGTTTGGGGGGTCATTTGAAAGCCATAAAGTGAAGCTGGCTTAAGCCAGTTTGGTGTTCTTGGAGAGAATGAGGAACTAACAGTCCAGGCCTTCCTGAGGAAAGGGAAACAATTCACGGGCCGCCCCAGTGGTCAGCTTTGATTTTTGGTAGCTGCTTGGCTCCAGTTTTTGACAATTGAATGAATTGTTTAATCGTCCACTGGTGCTGGTGGGCTTCGAACATTCTCTGAGGAATTGCTCTGGGCTTCCACCAGAAAGGGAGTGTTTTGAAATAATGCTCAGGAAATTTAGTTTGTGTCTATTGAAACAGCTACATGCCATAAAAATAAAATCCCTTTTTTAAGGTGTATAGTTGGAGTTTGATAAATGGAGTAGTAAGGTAACACATTGGAATCTACTTCTAAAAGAAACCTCAAAACTTTCACTCTCCTCACTCCCTGGCAACTATGGATTTGATTTCTTGATGTTTTCCCATTGGCCAGAAGGTCACTTCGGGAGGAGGATGTGGGCAGAAGGAAGCCTTGCGTGTCAGTGAGACTGCAAATGGCCTTATTACTGTTGAGTAGGACACGACAGCACTCCGTTGAGAGGTGTGTGAGGGTTGGCATCCAACTGTTTTAAGTCAGTCCCAGTGGAATACACATGTCTTTTTAGTGGCCGCCAAATGTCCTGCCTGGACCACGTGCACATGTGTGAAGGGCCTTTTCCTGAAGCGTCCAAACAGCAACTGGCACTGTGTGTGTTTACTCCTGTAGAAGGAAAGCTGGCCCTCCTTGTCCTTGGGACTAACTTTAGAGAAGATGGGCCCAGAAGTTGAACTCTGATCACTCTTTTTTTGACATTTAAGTGAAGAGACGGCACCTCCATCCAGGTGGTTCTGGGAGGGGTTCTTGCAGATGCTGTGTTCCTGTGATGAGGTGCCCTGGTGGTGTAGTGGGCTTCACGTTGGGCTGCGATCTGTATAATAGGCAGTTAGAACCACCAGCAGCTCAGAGGGCGAACAACGGCGGCTTTCTGCTTCTGTAAACAGTTAAAATCTCTGAAACCCACAGGGGGTCACTGAGGCAGTATTGCCTCCATAATGGTGGGTTTTGGGTTTTTTTGTTTTTTTTTGGTTTTGGGTTTCTGTAAAGAAAAAGACCCACCTTTCCGACTGCCACCAATGGGTGATGGGCTCTGAAAATGTATGGTACTAGTAGCAGCACATAAGACTGATTCAAAAGAAGATCTGGCTCCCCAAATCATGGGGTGCTTCTGACTCTTCAGTGGAGTGTATAGCCCCTATAGCTGGAGGATAATTAATTAGAATGAGAGTTAGCTGAGACAGCACCACAGGTGCATACAGCATTATGTAGAAATGGGCCATAAATTTGTTGCAAAGTTATCACCCAAACACCAAAACCTGGGGCTATAGACTTGGTTTTGGCTCTTAGACAGATAGGAAAGGACCCCGTAGGACAGAACTCTGCTCCAGAGGGTTTCCAGGGCTTTCAGATACTGCAATGATAACTTGTAGGTTGAGGAGTATTTCAGGGGGAACTCCATTGTTTTTAATGTAATATCAGGTACTTAATCTGGAAGCTCACAGTGGCTTCAGAGTTTTGGAATTCTCTGTCAGGCTTCCTAGAAGGTACGGCCCTCAGCAAGATAGGCCCCTTTGGTTGCATGGTCAGTGAGGTTGCTGTGAGTGGCATGTGTCTAGATGAAGAGGCCAGTCGCACACGGGGGAGTGCGCAGTTCCTTCTCCAGCTGGTAGGGTCAGGTGTTAGTATGCATGCTCTTTGGGAAAAAGGACTCAAGGCGGAGAGGGGGAGGGGAACTGAAGAGCTGATACCAAGGGCTCAAGTACAAAGCAAATGTTTTGAGAATGACGATGGCAACAAATGTATAAATGTGCATGACACAATGTATGTATGTATGGATTGTGATGTGTTGGACAAGCTCCCAATAAAATGATTCAAAAAAACAAAACAACTCAAGAAAACAGCTCATTGCTAGTGAGTTGATTTCAAACCATAGCCACCCCATAGAATTGCCTCTGGTTTTAAGGCTATAAATATTTATGGGAGCAGAAAGCCTCTTTTCTCCTAGAGCTGCTGGTGGGCCTGAATCACTCAGCACCCAGGTGGTGAGCTCAGTGGACCACTAGGGTTCCTCTTTTTGGAAAGGGGAGTCTGCCAGGGATGGAGGTGGTGGTGCTCAACCGTCAGGGCTAGCCCAGAACATTTCTGTACTGCCTGTTGAGAAGTTACTTGGGGTTGGTTTAATCAGGACAGAGTTCTTGCTTATCTGGGAACTAGGTGTCCAAGCTTACTGGCGGTTGCTGACTTAACCTCCAGTTTTCTTGAGTGACCAGTTTTAGGTTGTTCACTGTGCATTAGCAAAGCATTAGTTAACTGAATTGCTTCACTGCCTCAGGCTACTTGCTCTGAAGGAAGGCCTGGGTACTGGGTGTAGCCCTGCCAACTAAGGCTGCCTTTCCTGGGCACCCTCACTTGTCACTGCTTGAGGGGCGAGGCTGCTGTCCTGGCTCCTGATTTGCCAGGTTTCTTCTGTGATGCTAATCTATGCCATGTGATTCTACTGTATGCCCAGCTTGCTCTCCTGCCCTCCATTTTTTAAACCAGCACTGGAGGCTTTGCGTGCAGACAGTTCTGCCCCCTGGGCTGAGTGCTATGGGATTTAGATGAGAAGTTTCTGGGTAGACTCTTTGCCTACTAGGAGCCTGTGCCTGGCCAGTGCTGTTAGGACCAGTGTCAACCGAATGCCACAGCATGGAGATAAGTCCCTGGGCAAATTCTCCACCAGGTGCTCTTTGGCTTTCTCAAAAGGATGGGATGAATACCCCCAAACTTGGGCGCAGGCTCCTGCTCCTTTGCTCACATACATGCTGTGTTAACTGTTGGTGGGCAGTGTCTACCTTTGTCAGGTGTGTCTGGTTATGGGCCAGAAGATGGGCTAAGATGAAAGGAAGTTACTGGCTTTCTTATTATTTGTATGGAACAAACTCTGTGGTGTATACTTAGCTTCTTTCTCATCCTCTTTCCCTGAAAAGGGTCAGTGTAATTGAAGTAGACCCATGAGGCCATCAGTGTGGTGCCCTGTACGTAAATCCTTGGCTTTCAGACATATTGATGCTGAGTCAACTCGATCCACATGTCTCGGTTAAGTGTGGTCGTTTCGGATTGGCATGTAAGCAGGAAGTCCCCTGAACACCCTGGAAATGTGTGGGGCCTGTGACAGGTGACTGCTCTATGGCCAGAGAAAGTTCTTTCTACATGGGGGCTCAAGAAGAGAATGCTAGAATTTCAGCTCTTGAAATTTCCAGAGCTGGTTGTGAAGCTTCCCCAAGGAATTATTGCTGCCCTCTGAGCCTTGGTTCATTCAAAATGCCTTAGAATGGCCTGGGGGTCTCTACTTCCGGTTTGCATTCAGTATGGCGAGCAGAGCAGTAGCCACTGAAGCCAGTTGCTGGATTCTGTTTTCATGGAAGGCAGTCCTTTTTTTTAATCCCTGTGTAACTTGACTACAGAAAGATGTTTTGGGCTGTATAAATCAGACGGCCTAGGTTGGGCTGGCTAGGGACAAGGCTGGGGCCTGGTGGCCCAAGCTTGGGCAGGCTAACTGGCTATTGCAGTTACCGCTCTGCCTCTAGCTTCCACCGCGGTGCACCTAGAATGGCTCTTCAGCCTGGTTGTGTGTTTGACAGCATAGAATGGCATTTGCTTTGCCCCTGAGGGTCAGTCGCTGCCTAAAATTGCTCAGAAAGAGCCTCCTGTCCCAGGAGTGAGCTGCCAGCTCATGGCCACATTTGAGGTTGAGGCTCCCAGGACACGTGTTGGCTGTTCTGGCCCTCAGAAAAACTTGGAACACTCAAGGAGCTAGGCAGGCCTGGTTACCCTGGGTGTTACTTTCTCCTATCTCAAAACAGCTGGGCCAAGGCTCAGATTTCTGTGGCTGATATGTCTAACGAGATAAATTAAACTGTCCTTGTGTGCGGATCCTCTCCCCCCCTTTCCCGTCTTGCCCCACAGTGGTAGACTGATCTGTGCAGGTCTACATAATTCTCTCATTCAAATTTCTATCGTCCTCTAGCCTGTTGACTTGGTGGGGTGTAGAGTCTCCAAGGACGTGTGGATGGTGGTTGACTACTGTTGGGGGACAAAGCTTCGGGCAGGTGCTCCATGACTCAGTTCCTTGTGGACCCAGTCAGGACAATCATCCTTGCTCTGACCCACCCAGGGGTTTGTAGGGATCAAAAAACACCCCAAGTTGCAGGGTCACATTCATTTTGATTGTGGGTGTTCTGTGGGAAAGCGCCACATTTAGTCTTCAACCCAGAAATCATTATGCCTTTCCTCTTTGCTGGGAGAAATCGTAAACGCTCATAAATGCTTTCTGGATACATTTTTCGTCTTCAAAAATCTCTCATTCCCTGTCCACTGTGCATGAAGATGGGGTGTATCCTGTGATTGTTGTATATGAATCTGCTTGTTTTCTGAGCAAGGAGGAAAGGAATGTGGTTAAAGGTTAGGTTGACATTTGACGTCTTTGGGGTTTACCTCGTCTTCCAGCTTATGGCCCTTTCAGCGATGGCTTTGTTTCAGTTAGCGTTCGAAGGAAGATGGACCCACGGTTTCTGTGCAGTTTTTTTGGGCCAGGTGCCCCAAGTCCACATTTCGCAAATTTAGATTTGGAGTGGCCAAGGACCTTCAGAAGACCATCTTGTAGGGGTGAGGTGGGGTGATGATCCGATCATGCTTGGTATTTTTCAAGTCTCAAAACATCAGGCCTGTGTTTTAAATGCTTAGCATGAACATGAGACATTCTATTTCGAGAAATACCTGCGGTTGCATTCACTTGGGTGGTAAAGTAATCGGACTCTACTTTTCAGATTTCAGGATTTGATGTTGGTACAAAAGCCAGCCTAGGTTTTGCAAACACCTAGAAGACCGAGTAAGGGTGGTCCCCGCTCTCCTGGTTGAACACCCCCTTGTCTGTGAACATCCACATCACCTACAGTCTGCCTGGTTTTTTTAGTGGGCTCTCAGGGCCGACGTGAGCTCAGTTAGGATTTCTGAGGTGAAATAATTGGCCACAGTCACGCAGGCGTTTACATGTAATGATGCCTTTGACCAGGCCACTGGTGAAAACGGTGACTTCCAGCTGAGACGAAAGCCTCAGCTCCCGCTGGCTTTCGGCCGCAGTCGAAACGAAATACAGTTTGCCAAGCTCTCTTGCTTCAGGGTTTGCTAACCCGCTGCTGTCAAGTCCACCCCGTCCTCTGCAGGACAGGCTTTTCCTTCTCCCTTGGAGCGAGCGGCAGGGGAATTTGAATGGCTGACGTGGTTAACAGCCCAGTGTTGATCCCATTGGACCACCAAGGCTGGCTAGCTTCTTACCTAACAGGATTATTGTTTCATTTTTTCCCCCCCAAAAGCACAACTCAAGTGGCTCCGTTCCCTTGGACCCAACTGTGTCAAACTAGGAAGCAGCTCACACCTCTGCCTGTGATTCGCCAGGTGCCCACTCAGCCATCACACTGTGACCCCTGTCTTCCTCATGCTTCCAGTTACTCTATCCATGCGACTGGTCCTGCACCCACCTCCTGTTTGAACCGTTTGGAAACTAGAGGACCTTGGCCCGTTTGGCCTTGATTAAGTTTCTTTTCGGTCCCTACTTTTCATCTTACATGAAACAAGGGAGTCCCCATGAAATCAAGCTCAGGCTTGATTTCTTCTAAAGCAGTGGTTCTCAACCTTTGCCGTGACCCTTAATACAGTTCCTCATGTTGTGGTGACCCCCAACCATAAAATTGTTTGTTGCTACTTTATAACTGTAATTTTGCTACTGATATGAATCATAATGTAAATACCTGATTTTCCTATGGTCCTGTGAAAGGGTCGTGACCCACAGGTTGAAAACCACTGTTCTAAAATGTCCCTTGGCTCTCTCGGGATCATTACAGGTCTAAGTACAGCTTCATCAGGGCATCATCTAGCTTGCTCAGCCTGTAAGATTTGCCTTAGGACCCCTGTGGGTTTTGTGGTCATGGGCTTGGCTGCCTGATGCATGGTCAGAGGCCTAGAAACCACTGAGTTTTCTCAGGCTCACTCATGACCATGGACTTCTGGTTTCCTGAGATGGGAAGGGGCTGACCTGTCCTTTTATGTCCTTGTTTAGGGGCCTCAGAATGTTGGTTTTTCTAACAAAATGGGGTTTCTGCCCCTTTATTTGTGATTAAGTGAGGAATCGAAGTTGATTTTTCTAGTAGAGAGGCACTGGGGAGTTACAGAGTGCTGGCTACCTCTGGATGCCCTCTGATGGTGGTGGGGGCAGGGCCATAATTCCGATCTTTCCATGCTAAAGTATTAAGAAGTGATAAGGACCTGCTCTAGGGAGAACTTTGGCCACTTTGAGAGAAGAGGCTGATCTGAGGGAGAAGGCCTTGCGGTGGGAAGGTTCTGGGCCTGGCCTTCCATTGTTAACTATTGGGGGTCACCTTTCAAGTAGACAGGACTTTAAAAACCCTAAAAGCCAGGGAAAGGAATCAGGAAATGATTCTTAGTGCTCAAGGACTTCTGATTTTTATGGAAGGGTCCCTGGTTGAATGAACCGGTGCTGTAATATCATTAAAGAGGTACAGCTGCTTTGCTGCAAACATAACAGCCCAGTTGAAAATAAATCACAAATGTATTACATTTTCAGATATTTTTTCCAGCGTGGTGGGGGGTGTTTGTGTAGCCCCTCAAGAATAGGGTTTAGCACATTGACTGGCAGCTGTGCAGGCTGGGAGGCCCTTTGGAGAGACTTAAGGCAAGGCCTGCTGGGAATGTTTATGAGCTGTGAAGACTGCTGGGAACAAAGCAGAAGGAAAAATACCAAGGAAACAAAATTCTCACCCTGCTGCTTTAGGTGTTGGGGTAGAAGCTAGTCTGCATTCATTTCTCCTTGGGGTCTCTCAAACACTGAGGGATCCCGGCTTTACCGGGGGCCCCCATGTCCTGCGCACCACCGCTCTGAAATGACCTGTGTGTGTTCATAGCTGAAAGATGTGTGACACTCCCACTAGCCAGTGTCACCAAGCAAAGTTGATGTTTTTGGAAGGAGAGCAATATTGCTTATAAGCTTTGTGATAAAATAAATTCCAGCTCTTTTCTTGGTGAGCTTGGCGAGGCCATTACTAGATCTCTCACTTAACTCCTTTGTAAGCACCACTTTCGAGGGGGTTGACAAGTCCATTGTGACTCCACAAACGACCAGGTAGAAGTGCCCTGTAGGGTTTCTAAGCTGCAAATCTTTCTGAAGGCACACAGCCACCTCTTGGTCTCAGAGCAGCTGGGGGTTCAAACTGCCACTTGTTAGGTGAGCAGAAGGCTTAACTAACCACTGCCACCAGGGCTCCTAGACCTTCATTTACCCATTGTTAAAGAAAACTCTTTAACTTGATTTAAAAAGATCTGTGCCCTTATTAAGTGAAGCAGTTATTTCAGGGGCTCCGCCTTCTAACCTTGGTATCATGGGTAAAGATAAGACCGACTCTCTTCCTCCTGTCTGCCTAAAAGTTACTTAATGAAACTCAGGGGTCACTGCTCTAGAACAGCCTTATTATAAGGCTGTGTGGGGGGCGGGTGGTGGTATAGGGGCTGACTGGCTGCAGACACTTACAAGGACTTACATGGGAGTGGCGCGGCATTCGCAGTGCCAATGATGTACAGACCCCTTTCATAGGTCTGGAGAGACCCACCTTTTTCCAGGCAGTGATTTGGGGATGAAACTATGTTCAATTGTGCCAAGGCCCTGCTGACCATCACCTGTGTTTTATCTTCTCTCTCTCCACAGAAAGCGTGGATACCCATCAGCGGAGTTTTGATATTGGCATTCAGATTGGCTATCAGCGACGCAATAAGGATGTGTTGGCATGGGTTAAAAAACGCAGAAGAACTATCCGCAGAGAAGATTTGATCAGCTTCTTGTGCGGGAAAGTTCCTCCACCACGGAACTCTAGAGCTCCCCCAAGACTGACTGTAGTGTCCCCTAACCGAGCTACTCCAACGGAAACTAGCTCATCTGTAGAGACTGATTTGCAACCCTTCCGGGAAGCCATAGCTCTGCATGGTAAAGCTGTTTAAACCTATTTCTTTGGAAAATGGCTAAGAGTGTGCCTGTGGGCCCATTTTTCATATATAGGCTTAGGACCAGCCATAATATTGTCTGTGTTGTTATGTTTTCTGTTCTTGTCAATTAGAGTAGACACTCAAGCTAGAAATGTTTAAATAGAATGTAAGGTAGAACGTAATATGGACTCTGGCCTATTTGCCAGCCCATCCTAATTACTGATGTCTTTAGGAAGTGAGTTTGAGCTCGGTGTTAACAAATAACAATTTTTCTGCAATGCTGATTGGAATTTACTGCTTTGCATTTTGTACATTGTACATTTTCTTACTCATTGCTGAGTTAAAAGGGATATTGTATCCGAAGAATTGTTACATCTGTAATTGCTACAGACAGGCAAGTTAACCCTGAGCTCGTTCTCATGAACGCGCTCTGTCACTGTTAGCTGCTGCACGTTGGTGACCAAGGAGGAGCAGGTAGTGACAGCGGGTGACTTTGCTGAGACTTTTTGTCCCTTAGGTTCTTGTAGGTTTGATTGTCCCGTAGACAAACCTTCTTGTCATTGATCAGGTCGGGCCTGTCCTCAAGGTATTGTAGATTAAACAAGACATGACCATTGAAGTCCATAAGGCTGCTGTCACTTGTTGCTGCCTATCACAGGCTGAGGGCCGTGGAGGGAGTCGTCCTTTCTCTTTGGGGGCTGCACTCAGCATGCATTGACTGACCACAGACCAAAGCAGACAACACGTTTCTGAGGGATGCAGCAGACAGGGGCCTCTCAGGAGATTATTCATACAAAAGAGCCTGATAATAAAAGTTGTGGGAAACTTTGGCAAGCTTTGCTTCTTTCCTAGGCCCCAAATCAGCCAGAGGATTGGATGTTTTAAAACAGGGCGGTGGGGTTGGGGTGGTAGTGCACATCATCCCCTCCAATTGATAAGTCCGTTTGACAAATTATGAAACAGAAAGTGTGTTTGGCTGCCGGTTCTAATATACAGTGAGCTGATAACCATCAGAACTTTTGAAATTCATGCAGGGAGAGAGGCAGATCTATCTATGTTGGATTAGTTTGACAATCTCTCTCCCTTTGCAATTGGGGAGGGGAGGTGGCGGTGCTAGACCTAGTGCCCAGCCTTGTCGCTCCTGAAGCTTCTGTCCTGAATTTTCTCCTCTGGTATCAGGTGGGTTTACTGTTCATTCTGTTCTTCTCTTAAAGTACCTTTTTCTGTTTTGTCCTACAACACTCTAGAAACTTAGTTTTGAGAAATACAAAAGTCGTGTTAGAAAATCTTTGTGAACTAGTATTATAGTGAAAGGGACAAAACTCCCCCTCGACACCCCCCCCCCAATTTTTTTTCAAAAAAGTTCTTCAGCTATCTTATCCTTAAGCCCCTATTACATTTTTTCAAATGGAACCTGTTCAACGTGTGATTGATTTTACAGTTTTAATGCCAGTGTAGGCTTTTTTATATTTATAATTTGACTTCTGTTTAGATGGTGAGGATCTTCAAAGGAATAAATACAAAACTGTAGAAACTATGTACCTTGGAGTACATTGGTAAGGATAGTGCTAGCTGCAGTCTTGAAGATCCTGTTCCTGGGGTTACTACAGAGAACAGTTGTAGGGAGGGCAGTGTGGCACTGAAGGCCGAGGGTCTTGCCCGCTTTCTGAAACAGTTTTGTGCTGTGAGCAATTGAGAAAACGACATTTTCTTTGAATTGGAGAGAATTCACTCTGATAGGAGTTACTCGGTGATTTCCTTGATTTCTAGTACTAGCCATTGCAAGTTACCGTATATACTCGAGGTTAAGCCAGACTATCGGCCGAGGTACCTAGTTTTACTACAAAAACTGCATAAAATGTGCTGAAACAGTCGGCTTATATGAGTATATACGGCAGTGCAATTTCATGTAATGCAAATTAATGACTATGTAATCAGGTACTAAATCTTAATCTTTTGTTCCTCATGAATAGTGTGTGACTTAAACTGGTATTTGTTAAGTGATTTTTGAAAACATCTCACAGTGCCAGAATTCACATTTGCATACCAGTTGCTTACCCAAATTGAAGGCCGAGTGTAAATTCATGGCCTTCTACTTAGGAGGGAGGATCCGGTCTAAGTGAACTGAAAGGTTTGCTATGCGAGGGCCAGGGAGGGTGACACCTGGGCAAAAGTGAGTGTAGAAGGTTCCTAGATCTCCTCGTGTTCCCTTTATGTAGGGACCTTTTTCATTCCACCTTTGTAATTCTTTTTGAATAGGCTATTAAGCTCCTGCCTCTACCACTCCTGCCACCAAGTGCAGATGCCTAAAACTAGCGTTTTGTTGGAAGAAGATTGTACAGAATCCACATCTTTCTGGCACTCGTGCACACAACCGAGGGTGTGACTTAAGGAGTGAGATGTCTGTGGAGCAGTTGCTCAAGAGGGACTTAGGTGAACTGGTCAGTTTTCGTTTCCTGTGCACTACTGGAGCTATTCATCAGGGAGTTTGCACTCTTGACATATTACACGACAATTCTATATAGTGCTTGCTAAGTTGAGCCCTGCCCCAAAAATGTTATTCTTGCTTAAAATAACACTCAAAATCCACTTGAGAATCATTAATCGACACCGAGTCTTCATGTAAACACGATTTCAGATGACACTTTGGTTATCTTTCTCTCTTGGTGGCTGCCAGCCTCACGATCTCCTCCTCTCAGATTCTTTCACTGCTGTAAATACCCCAGGGCTGTCTCACGCTCTCCTCAGCAAGCCTGGCTGAGGTGGCTATTTCCCATAGCTGTATATCTAGGTTAGTGTCCTGGCCCATCAGCCTCTCAAAGACATAGTGCCAAACCTGGTTCTTGCCTTTAGCCACCCAGACTCCAAATGGTCTCTGGTGAGTCACATGTGGAGCAGCGCTTTCTTCCGTTGAGACTAAAGAATTTGGATGATCTATTCCCATGTCAGAGGTGGTATGTGTAAAATCACAGGAAGGAAGGCTCTCTCCGGAAGTGGTGAGCTTAGATGTTAGGAGAGTGTCATTATTTCCCATCCCTGAGCTGGCCGGATCTCTTATCCCATGTTAGGGGGCCACAGGAGGAATTTTTCTGAACTTCTTGCCAAGTTGGTGATCTTGTAAGTTGATCAGATGAAGTTGGCCATTGTCTTTCTGAGTGCCAGAGAGGCTGGTGTGCCCTAGTAGAGCTCTGGGCTTTTTTAGTTTCTTATAAGACTGCCAGGCCATCCCTGAAACGCTTTGTAGACCATGTGCCAAACCCTGTATACTGGGCGGGTAGGTGTTTCTTTGATACAGCTTTATTTCTAAATCAGGCACAACGAAGTGAACCAGTAACAGCTTAAAACACTGTAGGACAACTTTTAACAAGGGGCTGGGTAAAGCGATGGGAATGACAGCATTATGCCGGAGTGCCAGTGACTGTTGGAGCAGGTGACCACAGGCAACGGAAACCATGGGAGTGGGGGCTACTGTATTATTTGCAGATGTACAGCTTAGTGCTATCTGACATCACGTGGTCTAGCCCATAACCCACGCAGTCTACTCACATCACAGGAGGGGGTGATGAGCCATTGTGATTGCTCATAATTGACTGAACCAAGGCACCTTTTAGGATAGATGGCTTGTCCTTCTCAAGGAGTGTCTAGCCAAGGACGACAGTTTGAAGAGTAATACACCAAGGGGCTGGGGCACAGTGCTACTGCATCAGGCGTCGGCCCCTGTGGCTTTCCTCTTGGGTCCTAGCATAGTCTTCTGTGACCTGCATGGGAGTTTTAATTCTCTTGGGCTGTTGGTGGTAGATTGTTTTGAACTGGAGAAAATGGATAAAGGACCGAACAGGACAAGGGTAGTCATGAAATTGGAGTCAGCGGGCTAAGGGTCATTGTCTGCGTGAGAGGTGAGGCATGATCGACTTTGCTGAGTGTAAAGGGTATGGCTGGTTCCTCCTGCTCTAGAATTGGGATTTTCTTTCACTTAACAGGCTTCTGTAGCTTATTCCTTTTTGAAAGGGAAGTTTCCAAATTTTGGGAAGGATTCTTGGTGGCTGCAGGGCATTGAGAATCAGGGCATTTTAAACACGTGCTGGTGCCTTCTGCCTTTCTTGTCACTCTTGTCTGTCCATCACATGGCTGCCATGTTGGATAAGCTATTCAGCTTAATTTTATTTTTATTTTTTTATTTTTAAATTATTTTTTCATCTTTATTTTAAAACGCAAATGATAATCTAGTGTAGACGCAGTTCCAAGTGCTAAGTAGATTTGGTTTGTAAATGAGTGTTTTACAGTGGTTGACTTATCCATACCCTGAGGAAAGAGTCCGGGAAGTCACCCCCTTAGCCTGGTGGGTGAGGAATTGAGGCCCGCAGTTTTGTGGGCACTTGGTAAAGGGGTTTTAGTCGTAGAATGGAGAGTAAGGATGGACACAGTGAACCTCACTGGAGCAATCTCATCAAGATCTTCTGAACTAAATGTCCTCTGCAGGTGGACTCGCTCAAAGGTGCCCTTCAGCTCGGACCCAGCTTTTGAGAACTACATAGCTGAGACCACAGCACAGTGCACACTGAGCTGGGCGGCTGGGGAAAGCGCTGTAGAGTACACAGCATAGCTACTGAAAGTTTTCAGAGACAGGAATTAGGCTACGGATGTCAGACCCTGGTGCTCTTGACCCCACAGTACCACTTTGGTGGTCATTCCTTCTTTCAAGGGTATAGTACTTGCCCAGGGCATTCTGAAGGACGTCTAACTGGTAGTTAGAAAGCAGTGTAGTATCCAAGTGTAATTCTTCATATTTAATGACATGAATAATTTTTTTGGGAAATTCAGAAAGGAGAGGACAGCCTCCTTATCCTGTCATGAATTGTTGGGTGCATTTTCCTTCCAGCCTTTCCCCCTTAATGTGTAAATATATGAGGTTCTCACATAGCTGAGCTCATGTTACATGATATGTATCTTGCTCCCCCTCCCTTTTTAAATGTCCTGAGCATCTGTGCCCCTGGCATTAAAAACTGTTGCTGAAAAACTGAAAGCATTTTGGGCTGTCAGTCTCACTGGAAATGTTTTCTTGGTTGACCACATGTATCTCTGTACTTGATTTGCTTTATTTAGTATGCTTTGACTTCAATAAAAATTCAGTATTTCCATCCACACATGGGGCTGAGGAGTGTGGTATCTACTTTAAATGACCCACCCACATTATGCTAGTAGAATTTAATTTTATTTATAGTAGAATTATTTTTAGGTCAACTGCTGGTACATTTAAAACACAACATTGATATGTGCTTGCCTGGCTTTTCCCACTCAAACACACCTGTGCACCCAGGTGTGCACACATTGAATAGGTTCCAGGGTAGGTTGTGGGTCCCTTTGAGGGAGTGGTGGGTTTCCAGGTGCCCCCTTCCTCCATGTCTGCACCGGAAATGAGAGAGCTGGGACAGGTCTCAGGATGGGTGGTGGGCCCTTCTCTCCTGACAATAAGCTTGGATGCAGCTGCCCCTCAACCTGGCTTTGAATTAGCTTGTGTGTGACCTAATTGTGTGTGTGTGGGGTGTGTGTGTGTGATGAACTGAAATAACACGTAACTAAAACGGGGTTTGTGTGTTCCCTCTAAGCATGAGCTTTGTCATAGCTTTTTGTGCTCACTGAGAATTTATTATTGCCCAGAACTTGGGTTTGCTCGCTGTGCTCTGCCCCTGCCCACCTTGGCCCACACAGATTGTCATTTTAGAACAGATGCTTGCATTCAATCATCCTACTGCCTTGGTTTGTGGGTACGCCTTTGGCTCTTTGGGAAAAGTGTTTTGTTTTTACAAACAGTCACAGTGTCCTTCAAACAATTTCAGATTTCCTGTTAGGTTTTCCTGTACTACTTGTATAGGTCTGACGGGTATAGCAAAGATTTTCCAAAGCATCTCAGTGCCATTCATCAGTTTATAACAAAGTATGCGTTGTTCAAAGTATATTGACAAGTTGGTGGTTAATGCTAATTTGGAGACCTATTGTCAAAGGCCTTGGGTGGAGGGGAGATTCGTTAGTGACCCTGGAAAGGCATCTTCATTGCTGTGACCAGATATGTGACCAATTGATAATGTGTGCAGTGAGATTTAAGGTCAAACCAAGACTCCAGTCATAGACCCAGCTGAGCAAGGTGGCCATGTTGCCAGCATGTGTTGCTAGATTTCCTAATGGGGTATGTTGCCTTTCGTTGAAAAGAGCAATGTAAGCGAAGCATCTTCAAGTGCCTTGGCCACTGGTGGTGCAGTGCCTTATGCGCCTTGGGTGCCAGTGACAGGGAGGTGACTGATGGCCAGGGAACCACCTGGCTTGACCGCATGGGCCATCTTGAGTTTGGTGATGGCGGAAGACCAAGGGGATCCTGGCCTTCATTCCCATGGATGCTGAAGGCCAGGCTTGTGGCGCAGAGTTCACTGAGACTTGTATCTAGTGAACCAAGCACCAAAAAGGGGGCCTCCTCCCTTCAAGTGGCCTGTCAGATGGGGCTGGAGATGAGGGAGAAGACCGCCTGATGGAAGTGCCCCGGGGACTCCTCAAACAACAACAAACCAACGGTGAAGGAATGAGTTGGGAAGGGTTAGCCTTGATTGAGGGTAGTCTTTGAAGGAGCTGGTGAGATGAGTGCATCAAGAGCGGAGCTTTGAAACCCGACAATATGGGCTAGCTCTTGGAGGTACTCCCCAACTCAATTCATGAGGCGGCCACACTGCTCAGTGTGCTAGACAAACACTTTACAGGTGATTGTAATGTGCAGTTTGACATTGGCCCAAGACTGTTCTCCCTCAGCCCCATTCTAGGCCCCCCACAGGGCTGGGGGAGCGAAAGTTACCTAGCTGGTAGCTAGATCTGTGGACAGGTCTTTGAGCTTAGCTGTCTACCCTTGCGGGTACAGGATTGGGAATTATAAGGTGTTCAACACCTTGGGTGACACCATCCTGCGGGGCTGAAGAGTTGCCCTTCAAGGCCACTGAGACGGGAGAAGCAGTGGAGACAGCCAGAGACTGAGAGGAGCAGCATCAGGACACCTCAGGATTCATCACAGTAGCAAAATTACACTTAGGAAGTAGCAACAAAAATAGTTTTATGGTTGGGGGGGTCACCACAACATGAGGAACCGTATTACACCATCACGGCTGTAGGAAGGTTGAGAACCACTGGACTAGATTGTGGGGTATAACTTCAACTCTGAGAGGGTCATGGGCAATTAGGTCTGGAAATCTCTTGTTTGTGACATAAGGTCTTTGATCTTCTAGGGCTGATCTTCAAGAGATTTCTCACAGGTGTTGTCTGCAGCACTCTTAAGCGTGGTGGTTAGGTTGGGCACCCCCAGGGAGGGGGGGTGTTGCCTTGAAAGCAAAGCCAGGCTCTGCCTGCCACCATACCACGTTTGAAGATTGTAGACAACTTGGAGCCTGCTTGTTTTGGGGCCGCTTGCTTGAGGACACATTATTCAGACCAAGTTGCCCTGACATCATTTTAAGAGTGGTGGGGCTGTGGACAGGGTTTGGGAGGATTCAAATACAAAAATTTATTTTTGAAGGCTAACAGCATGTTTGCATAATTTTGAATGAGCTTCTCAAGGCTTAATAGTATAGACCATTTTGGATGATGAAAGTCTGGCCCCCTTATTAGAAAAGGGAGATTGGACAAGCCCAGTTGATCTTGCTCTCTCTCTACACACTCACCCTCCCACCAATTCTCGGATGCTGGTGTGACCAGCATGCTCTACTGAAAAGCAGCATGTCTTCACCTGTATACAGCCCACAGTAGCTACCACGTTGAGTTGGGACAGGAGAGCCCTGGTGGTGTGGTTATTACATACTGGCCTGCAAACTTCAAGGACAGTGGTTCCAATCCAGCCACTCTGAACAAAAGAGGAGGCTTTCTACTAATAAAGAGTTACAGTCCCATTGTAGCCTGGCCTGTAGGGGAATGGTGGTGGTTCCTACCAGGAACCCTCTCTGGTGGGAGTGAGCGAGACCCAGGCGGCCTTGACCTGATGAAAGGCAGGAGTGGCAGGTGTTGAAGTGGGTTGCTTTTCAAAAGGGGTGATGAATGGAGCAACTCTAAAACCTGTTTTCTTCTTCCTAGGTCTTAGTGGTGCAATGGCTAGTATAAGCGTGCGGTCGAGTACCCCAGGCTCTCCTACACATGTAAGCAGTGGATCGAATGCTAGTCGAAGGAGAAATGGACTCCATGATATGGATTTGAACACTTTCATATCAGAAGAAATGGCACTCCATTTGGACAATGGTGGCACTAGAAAGCGCACCTCAGCCCAGTGTGGCGATGTCATTACAGACTCACCAACCCATAAACGCAACCGAATGATCTAAACTGCAGCCACGGCCACACCCACCATGCTGCTTGAAAGCCACTCGAATCCTCAACATATATTATCGCAAAGGAGACACGAGGCCATCTTCCCGTGGTCATTGTTTAAGGCGTGAATTCCAGTGGTTGCCATAAAAGGAAGTTCTCTAGGTATTTCCGGTAGATGCCTCGTGTCACTACGGCTTTCTTTAAACAAACATAGAATCCTAGCAGAGGACATCAGATACTGTGTAGTCGTTCGCAAGATCATCCTATCCTAGGCAAACACATATCCGTTCCAAGGCTAAAAGTGACCTTAACTGTATTTATTCTCAAAGGGAAAGGGAATAGCAGATGTTTATTTGATTATAGAATGCTTTATTTTTTTTCTCCATTACCTGCTGTGTTGAGTATTTTGCTTCAACAGTATTGCTAGTCTTTCAGAATGGTTTCGAACCCTGATTTGGCTTCCATTGTTGGTACAGCAGCAGCACTGTGCCACGCACCTGGTCTCTAGAGAGTCAGGCAGCGGGTGTATCCCCTCGGACTAGTCCCCTCTAACCCCAACCCATTTTCAGTTTCCTAAGCAGTTTCTAATTCTGGTGATTGTGTGGTGTACAGAGGTGCTATGATGGTCACGCAAATAATATTTACTATTGAATCAGTACTCAGTGGTATTGGGAGTCAGTGTGTGTGTATGTGTACATGTACGCACACACGAGCGAATACGAGTAGGGGCGTGTGCTAGTGCGCCCCAAACAGCATTATCATTAAACGCTGCGGCCCGTCCCCAGATCTATAGCCTTGGTCCTCTATTTTCAGGCAAGCCCTACTTTCTGTCCTGTGGTTAAGTGTTAGCACAGACACTTAAGGTGACAGGTGGGCGGGGAGAGGTGTGTGTGTGCGTGTGCGCATGCACACACACTTGAGTGGGCTTCCTTTGGGTGCACCAGAAATGAGCACGTGGGAGGAGGGAGGAGGATGGGTGGGCTTGGTGTCCTGTTGGATATGCCTTTGAAAGCCCAACTTGCTTAGTGCGTGTTGGAATAAGGTGGAGGTCTCTTGAGGCTGCCTTAAGAGACAGCCTTACAGAGCAAAATGTGGGCCCACGCAAGGTCCAGAAGAGGGGTGGGGGTCAGTGAAATGACACACAAGATCCCGGAGACTCTAGGCAGACACGACAGCAAAGCTGGCGACTGCGCCCTTCTGGAGTCAACAGCCTGCTCACAGCGATGCATGTCTTGGAGCGTGTTTCATCCTGGTCCTTACTGTCTTGACCTGAACCATAGCCGTAGAGGAAGAGCTGATGTCAGCCTGTCAGGGACTCATTTAGTCTATCCTCTTCTGTTTCAAGTAGGACAGTGGAAATGTTTCCTTGCAGACACGTTAGCCCTCCCTTATCAGTTACTTTTTAATCCTTTAAAGACGATTGCAAATCAGTGTAAGGATTTTTGCGGGCCTCACTTACTGCACTTTATTAAAGTTTGCAATTCCTTCCACATTTAGTCACCTCTGTGTGTGTGTGTGTGTGTTTGAAGAACCCTGGCTCAGTTCACTGTCAACGTGTACTGGCCAGTGGGGAAAGGAGCTGCAAGGCTGGGTGAGCTAGGCGTTCTGGGCCCAAGAGAGGCCCAGCCCTCATGTAAACAAATGGATTTCAGGCTTGAAATTAGGAACGCTAGTCAGGTAACTGCAGATGTGAACCCCCGTTCCCCCCCACACGAATAGCATAGAGGAAGAGGTCATCTTTGAAGAGCACCAGGCAGGTCTGTGATGGCTCTCAGTAAGTCGCCTTCCCTTTGGAATAGACCTAGACTTGCATGCCTGGGAAGTCCCTGCCCCTCTCCCCAATCTTTGGGTGTCAGTCTAGAGTGGGGTGGGGCCTTGCTCTCAAGGAGGGGTCAAGGCTGCTGTTCCCCAAGGATGTTGAAACCGAGGAGCACTCGTCAGTCATCTCCACTGGCCTCTTAAGATGAATGAAAAGGGTTTGATACTCCCCAACCCCATTTATATTTTTTGTTTAAATCGGTGCTCTGATACGTACCCTTTACTCTCAGTTGTCAAAATTTTGCTAAACTGTGTGCCATTTTCTTTGGTAGAGAAAGCGGGTCTTCCTGTCTGCCGGAACCCAATTTATATGCCTTCACATTGGCTCCATTAAACTTGTACAAACCTTGAGCCTTGTCCCTCTCTCCCATTGCCATTTGTGTCGGGGCACCCCTCTGTTCTCTTGCTCTCGGGTGCCATTGGAGCACAGGCCCACAGGAAACGCTTCTCTGGAGAACTTGGGCCGAGGAGGACTGGTCTGGGCCCCCCTCAGGTCAGCTTGGAGCACAGAGCTCCAGATGACAGGTTTGTGTGGTACTATTCACGTCCTCAGGGTTCGAGAACGACAGACTAAGCCTTTGCGGGTCAGAACTTTGTCTTAAGCTTGGTCTCTCTCCATCCCGGTAGCACCCCCCCACCCCACCCCACCCCCCGGTAGTTAGGCCCTGCTCCTCCCTGAGCAGGCCTGAGGTTTCTACAAAACTCAGCTCTCCTGTTCGGTAACTTATGGAGCAAAAGTAATGGAAAACATCGGGCTGAGTTATAAACCCAGTCACTTATTGGATGTGGTTTATCCAGCTGGAGCATCAACTGCACCACTAGCACCCCCAATCATAAAGCTAATAAATCATTTTATAAAACCCAAGGAATGGGTTTGTTTTTTGGGGTCATCTCTGGATAACTTGGTCTAATCCATGACTGTAGGGTTGGACCAAGAACTGATCTTGTAAACATTCTTTGTGAGGACGGTTGGTACATCAAGCTGTGTCATTCTGGGCCTTAAACGGTTTCCTCCCCTACTACACTGACAGCAGGGGCCTAGCTTCCTTCCTGTGTAGTCGGGATGGCAGTGGTTGGTGTGGAGGATTCATGAAGGTGGGCAGTGGCAGTTCTTCAATAGAAAATGGGGTCTTCTATTGATGTGGAGTTCACTATGGCAGCCTGGATGGCTGTGGGGGTTCACTGATGCTGTTCCCAGTGTGTGTGCCACCCCTCCCCCCAGCTGACTTGGTACTGTTAAAACAAATTTAGGAAGTGCGTCTGGTACCAATGAAGCTGCACAGCAACGAAGTTTAAAGGTAGCCCTCATGCATGGTGGTACCAGGTGATCACTGAAGTGTCTACAGCAGTGTAGAGGCGATCCCACCCCCACCGGAACCCAAACCACGTCAGGCTTGTACATGTCCAGTTCAGTCTGTTGACATTCAACTTGGGCAAACATTCTCACCCTTCTGAATGGCTTTCCCCCGAACATCAACTGCCCACTCCCCACGTGTCCCACCTGCTCCACCAGTCCTGGTGATCACTCTTGGCAGTGAATGTGTGTGTGTGTGTGTGTGAGAGAGATGGCACTGCCAGGTGTCCCACTCCCTTCTGTAGGGTCCACCAGCAGGTGATGCAAGTGTCGAGACCTTCACTTCTGTAGGCTTTTTCACCATGGACCGTGGAAAGAAGTCACCGGGATTTGACTGTGGACTCCACTACTTGTGGGAACCTGGACTCGGTTTCACTGTCAAAGTGGGTATCGGAGACAAAGTGATGCAAAATTAAGTGACTGGAATACTTGAATTCTTTGGAAGTTTGATACACTTTAAGGTCTACACTTAGAATCCACCTCTCATCAGTGGATGCTGGGATGTAAGGGTTTGTATAAATGCAATCTTGTGAGAAAATGCAGGCCCTTGACCCTCTTCAAAGGTAAAATCGGTTTGGACAGTAATACCCAGGCCCTTTCTTGGAAATGGGTTGTCTGCATGGTTACTTGGGGGGCACCCCTGCAGGACAGTTCACTTCTCTTACGCAGCCACTGCAGACGAACGTGAAAGAAAGCTCTAGTCCTGAAAGTGGCCCATCTTATACTGCCCTAGCTTGGCTCTACACCACAGGAACATGGCCTCCATTCTTAAAGATTACGTGCATGGCATACAGGTTTTTGCAAATGGCATGATCTCCCCCTTTAGTTTCCAAGGTGTGTTACATTCGTGTTTACATGGGCACGCAATAGATGAAAAACCATACCAGTAAAGCTTGAGTGCTATGCAGTGGTTCTGAAGGCTAGGGTCCATCGGTAAGCTGTTTTTCAGACCTCTAGTGACTACCACGGGGTGCTTTTGGTTGGCAAGTCCTGCTTTCCTGGCCTCATTGGCACTTGCCCTCAAGCCAGAAAGCCGCTCTGCGGAGCCCAAGCTGGCGTGGCTGAGGCCTGCCCGCACAGGCTTCAGTTCTGGCAGGTCAGTTCCCTGAGCGGCTGGGTCTTGGATGGCGCTGTCCTGTGCAGCCTGCCACCACTGGGTTCCCTCAGCTGCTTGCAGCACCTGGGGCCCAGTGGCTCGGCTGGTAACTTCTAGAGTGGCAATCCAGGTGTCTTTGTGAGCTGTGAGGATAGGTCCTTGGGGCAGGTGCTATCTAAGGCGCATCTGGAGGAGGTGGGGCCCTTTCCTGGTTCCTCCCTGTGCTGGTAGTTTCAGGGTGGGTCTACTCTGATGGACTTTTGGGCTTTCAGGTTAAGTTCAGGGGCCTTGGGGGCAGCCTGCTGTGAACCAAAAGGATAAGATGACAGGCTTGGAATCCGGGGAGCAGTTACTTCTCTGCCCAGCAGGGTCGCTGTAAGTGGAATAACTCAGTGGAAATGAGTTTTGTGTGCTGGGTGTTTTTCCACGTTAAGTGAAATATTGGACTATAGTAGATAGAAAACTTGCCCTTGTTTCACATGGTGTAGGCCTGCCTGTGGCCCCGGCCATGCGGTTTCACAAACATTCTGCGTTGACGTCCACAGCAGCGAGAAAGCCCTCGTTTATCAAGGGGTAGGGTAGACACACCGAGCACAGGCACCTGGCCTTTGGGAGGTGGTTCCCCCCTAGCTGCAGGTGACATTCTGGTCTTCCTGCACCTGCACTGGGAGGCTGCTGGAGAGAGGGAAAGGCGACTTGAAAATTAGAGTGGGAGAACATTTCCTAGGCATTCACGTGAGACCTTCGCAGCTGTGCTTGTTGAGGGTCAGCCTCCTGGGAGCCTCTGCAAAATGGGATCAGTGATGCTCACCTCTTGTGGTGAGATGAAGTCACTTGGGATGATGTCTGGCACATGCTGAGGACTTGGGTGTGAGGCGCTCCGTGTGTGGCCATTATACTCTGTAAAACGCCCTGCTCGGAGTTCTGCCCCAGTCTCCAGCCTCACTTTCACCACGTGCGATCTGTTGCTCAGCCTGCTTGTGTCTCAATCAGCCAGTCAGGCTGTGCCCCAGACAAACAGATGAGAGTTCTTGTACCTGTGACCTGCAGGAGGGCTGTACCCACAAAGCCCTGGGCTGCAGTGAGTCTGAGCTGCTTGGGAGTGACCCAGTAGCTGTGTCCCAGGACATGGCCTCTCCGGGATCTGGCTGGACTACAACACCTTGAGGGCATGTTTAAAATAGACCACTGGCTCTCCCACCCCTGTCCCACACCGAGGTCAGAGGGTGGAAGACAGGGGACTTAAGAAATCAGATCAGATGCTGAGACCCATCACCCCCTACCCATTTGGCAGAACATGCAAGGAAGTGTCTACCTGACTTCTCCCAAAACTGTTGCCGGTGCTGTTGGTGGTCACCTGTCCGTGCAGCCCAAATGCGACCGGCGTGGAGACGATGGGCACTGCAGAAAAGGGAAGAGCCTGTCCTCGCTCGGACAGGACAGGCGTCACACTTGTACCCACGTTGGCAGCCCTCCAGCAGCAACTCCTCATAGAGACACATAAACTCAAGCCTCCTGCCAGCAACAGCTCATGGCAGGCACCCCATAGGCAGATATTCCTGAGCAACAATTTATACCTTAGGGGTGGAGATTAGCTGTTGGAATCACCTCCGTGAGAATCACACGGAGCAGGATTTGTCTCATGCTCTAGTTCCTGAAGCACTTCTTGGGTGGGTCTGGGGTGGGAGAGGGGCTAGAAGGTGCTTGTGCCAGCCACAATGTAGGGCCCCATGGGGCAGCCAGAATTTTATTCTGGAGCCTGGAACTGCTTGATGGCACAATGACTGAGATTGCTTCCACCTTCATGTTCTGGATGGAGTGGGTGGAGGTACAGTGCCAAGCACTCATGGTGAGGTGGCACTGAGTGGCGGCACTGTGGTGCTCAGTCCTGGCACTCCCTGTACATGCTGTGGGTCCCACTGCAGAAGTCTTGGTGCAGCCAGGTTGCCAAAATGCTTGCCCCACAAAAGGGACTTCTGGAATGCCTGCCTGCAGTACACAATCTCACCAGAAGCCTTCAATCACCAGGATCCAACTTGTGACCCAGGAACTACCTCACCGGGGGTGGGTCTAGTTAAAATGTAGATCTGGCATCTCACTGCCATCAGTCTGTTCTGTCTACAGGACAGGGGAGAACTGCCCCTGAGGGTTTCTGAGATTGCTAACTCTTTACAGAAGTGGAAAGCCTTATCTTTCTCCTTTGTAGCAGCTGGTGGTTTCAAACTGCCGACCTTGAAGTTAGCAGCCCAACGAGTAACCACTAGGAGATCGGGGCTGAGGTGGAAAGGCAAATTCTCCACAGGATTTGCCCTAGAATGCACCAATTTGAAGTCAGGCTTTCCCAGCTATAAACCCACTGGACCCTATAGGGCAGGGTCATCCTGCGTTTCCCGGGCTAAATCCTGATAAGAGCAGACAGCCTTGACGTTTTCCCAAGCAGCAGCTGGAGGGTTCAAACTGCCAACCTCAGCTCTTTCCTGCTATAAAAAAAAAAACACAGAAAACAAAATTCAACTCACTGCCATAGACTCAGACGGGCAGAGTACAACTGCCCCGGTAGGTTTCTAAGACTGCAACTCTTTATGGGAGTGAAAGCCTCATCGTTCTACCTCTGACCAGTGGGTGGTTTCGAACTGCTGACCCCCACAAGGATCCCACTATACTAGGCAATAAGAGGGTTGTTTACAAGGTGGCCTGGTGAGTTGCAGGTTGCCTGTAGGCTGTCAGTGCTGCATCTGGGTTTGGGGCTGGCACTGAAGGAACCTGTGGGAGAAGGATGGGGTGCAGTGAGCTCTGTGGGACACATGACAGGGCTGTGCTGATTGAGGGAACATATCCAGGCACAGCTTGAGAGTCTCCCAGCTTACCCCACCACCAAGCAACAGCCTGTCCCCAGCCAGCCAGCCAGTCAGTCACTGCTTCAACCCCTCTACTTAACCTGGGTGCACCAAGGGGCAACAGGTGGGCTCCTGCAATGCTGCAGTTGCCTTGTCTTCCCAGAATCCACAAGAGCCAAGTGAGGTCCTTTTAAATCATCACGGGATGGGCTGCCTGGAGCGTCCACCACACTGGGCTTCCCTCCAGCTGCTGACACGTGCTCCTGGGCAGGCAGACTGTTGACATCTGGGAAAATGCCAGGGGTGGCGGGAGAGGCAGGGTGTTGATCTGGCTCTCTCAGGCTGGGTAGGCCTGAGATGCACAGCCGCAGTTACCCTAGTGGGGCTTGGAGGCAGTGGGTTTGAAACTGGGGCTACCTTCCAGGTAGATGGGGCAGGACCCTTCAGTGACTTCAGCCCAGGATGTTACAGCCAGCATTATGTCATCTTCACTGACATCTATAGGGAGCCCTGGTGGTACAGTGGTTCAGCTGCAGCTGAAAGGCATGGGTTCAAACCCCATCAGCTGTTCCTCAGGAGGCTGTGGCAGCCTGCTTCCATCAGAGTTTGGTTGTTGGGTGCCTTTGAGTGCGTTCCGACTCATAGTGACCCACAGTACAACAGAGGGAATCACGCCCCAGGCCTGTGCCACCCGTACAACCATTATGCCTGGGCTCACTGTGGCAGCCCATGTCAAACAATGAGGGTTGTTCCCTTTTTTGCTCCCCATCTACTTTCCTGGTCATGAAGGTGTTTCCAGAGACTGCTCTCTCTCGATAACATCCAAAGTTAGTAGAGAGAGAGGAAGGCCGAGCTTCCTCGCTTTTATTTATTTATTTTGCTTCCTCGCTTTTAAGGAGCATCCTGTCTCTCATTCTTCCAAGACATGATCTTATCAATGAGTTGGAAAGTAGAGTTGGTCTTATTGAAAACCAGACCAATTTTCAGTAGTCATTAGGATGGAGGCGGCTTTTAGAAATGCAAAGCCCCAAATGTATAGAGGTACAGTATCTGTATTGCATCTTAAAAATCTCACCCCATCGCCTTTAGGAATCACACGGCGACCTTTCTGCAGCAGACAACCCTCAGGTCTCAGCCCTCAGCTACATCAATTCTTTTCTCCCTAGGGACCCAGCACTGCAAAACTCACTGCTACTCAGTCAATTCCAACTGGGGGACAGCCCGGTACTGTCCATCAGGCTCAGGTTACTTGTTGGGCTGCTAACTGCAAGTAAGCAGTTCTAACCCACCAAGTGTTCCCAGCGAGAAAGATGAGCCATTTTATTCCCATAAACCCACAGGGGCAGTTCTACCTTGTCCTATCCGCTCACTGTGTCAGTATTGACTCAGTGGCAGTTTTTTTTTTCTTTCAATATGGGCGTTTGATTTATTGATGGCTGCTTCCAGAACCCTCTGACTGTATTTTTCACCCAAGAAATTCTGCATGTCCACAAGAGACCATTCCTGCACGAAGGCGTGGATGGCTCAGGAAGCACACACAGACCTACTGTCCCGGAAGCAGAGCGTAAGTAGGGCCTTGAACTCGGCCCGCCCGCGCCGTGTCCCCTTCTTCCCAAGGCGACCCCAGTGCGTTTCTGCCCCGGCTCGGGGAGCTCCTGGGGCAGGTGACCTCGGCCGCGTTGCACCCTCGGGGAGAGAGGGTGGGGGGGTGGGGGCCAAGGTTAGCTCCCCGCCGGGCTGAGAGCCCACTTGTCGTCCGGCGCGCGGCCACCTCCACACTGGCCGCCCGCTCCGAGCTTGACCTTGGTCACCTGGGAGGAGCTCTTCCCCTGCAGCCGCACGCGCGTCACTCGTCACTCGTTTGTTTACCAGCAAGTGGACGCGGAAACCTCGTCCCCGCCCGCGCCCCGGGGCGCAGGGAACCCCGGGCCGCCGGAGCACGCCCCGGGCTGCGAGCCGCATTCCCGGGCCGCGACTCACTTCCTGTTTGGACCGGGAAATTGGAATTTGGAAGGCGGGGCAGCAGATCCTTGGAAACAGCTGGGCCCGCCCACCGGAGCCTTAAAGGGACAGCCTTCCTGGGCGGCGCCTGCGCTGGTGGCGCCTCTCCGGAGGCGGGCTTTGAAGCCGGGCAGTGGGCAGAGGGACCTGGCTGCCCTTGCGTCCGGGCCACTTCCTCCTCTGGAGCGACATTGGCAGGACAGACCGCCCTAGCTTGTTTAGCTCACGGTGCCCACTGGGCCTTCACGGCCAGCCCCGTGTCCGCCTCACCTGAAGTGCCAGGGACAGATGAACCCCCGCCCACGTTCAGAAACCCGAGGAGTCCTTCCTTCAGGAGGCCCAGGGTGCGAACCACAAGGTGAGCGGTTCAAAGCAGTCACTGTGAGGGGGAAAGACATAAAGAGTGCCCTCCTACCCTGTCCTCATCCGAATCGACTCTCTCTTACTGCCAGCCTGGTGGGAGGACAGTGTGCCCACTTCCCCACCTCAGCCTCCTTCAGAGCCAGCTGGCCAGCTCCCTGGGTCCAACCTTGCACACCTCTAAAATGGGTCCTCTCCCCAGCCCTGGAGTTGGGGTTCCGAGGGAGGACTGTCCAGAGTTTATTCTCTCGGTCTAGAGCCCGCTCCCCTGGATGGGGGTCCTGGGGCCACCCTGGGGCTGCCCTTCCGGGCATTTGCTCAGAAGGCCCTGCCTGGGCCGCAGCTGTAGCTGGGCTCCATCCGCCGCCTGTGCGCCGGGCAGAAGACAGCGCAGGGCTCGGTGCAGCCACTGCTCTGCTGCCTCCTGGGTAAGCAGGAGGGCAGGAGGAGACGACCGACACGAAGAAGGTATGACGTGCTCACAGTGGAGCTCAGGCCAGCCTGGGCCCAGCAGCCGCCATCTATTTCCCTTTGCATGTCCCGCCATTCTGTAGCCTCCGCTAAGGAGTCAGTGCGCAGCTGCCTTTTCCGCCCACGAAGGTCCACGGTTTGAAACCACTAGCCTGATCTGCTTCGGTCAAGATTTACAGCTTCAGAAACCCTGTGAGTGGTTTCACGCTATGCTACGGGTCCCCCTAAGGAACCCTGGTGGCACACTGGATTAAGCACTGAGCTCCTAACCCTAAGAACAACAGTTCGAACGCATCCGCTGCTCCTCGGGAGAAAGATGAGGCTGTCTTCTCCTGTAAAGTGGGCTACAACCTTGGAAAGCCCGCTAGGGCAGGTTTACTCTGACCCGCAGGGTCACTGTGGGTCGGAACCCACTCAGTGGCAGGGAGTCCGGATGTGTTTTTATGGGACCGCTGAGTCGAAATCCACTCCACGGCAGTGAAGTTTCCCTTGGTTTGGCGAGTCCTGGCAGCACAATGGTTCCTAAGTGGTTGATGAGCTGAAATTCTGAACACCCCAGTTTGCAAAAGGCTACGGATGACAGGGACAGCACAACATCCACGGACAGTCCTCACACAGATCAAGCTCACATAGATTGAATGTGTTCTGACCAAGGAGCCAAGGATGTAGATAATCTCAGGCAGAAGGCCTGGGAGAGTGGACTACCTCCATCCCGCTCCCACCAGCCCGGGAAGGGGCAGTCTCTCTGAAGGGTTTGCCTGGGTGTGTCCTTATGTGAGTCACCGGACATTCTAGGGACAGCACAGGGAGGCCCTTAGTCATGAGTCACGCCCCATCAGTCTGGCCCTGACTGCTTTGGTTGGAAGGCGCTGGATCAATCTGGTTAACCCTTCTGTCTAACATGATTTACGGGTCCCAATCATGGTTCTATTCCTGCTTCTGTGGCCCCACCTGGAGCTGTGATGTATTGGTCTGCCACCAATCGTACACTTCTTCTGCCCTCCTGTGCCCTTTATAAAGCTCTGTGTCTCAGCAAACCTTGGATGCCATTTGACCTCATGCTAATGACCTCCTTCATTAGGATAATGTGTCTTTATGCTTTTTAAGACTTAATAAATGAGGGAATTCAGTACAGATATTGAGAGTAGCAATACCAGGAGGGGGTAAGGGGAAGGTGAGGGGAGAAAGGGGGAACCGATCACAATGTTAAACTTATAACCCCCTCCCTGGGGGATGGACACAGAAAAGTGGGTGAAGGGAGACCTTGGTCAATATAAGACATGAAAAAATAATACCAATTTATAAAATTATAAAGAGTTATAACTTGATAAGAGTTCGTGAGAGAGGGAGGGTGAGGAAGGGAGGGGAAAAATGAGCTGATGCCAAGGGCTCAATTAGAAAGAACATGTTTTGAAAATGATGGCGGCAACCAATGTACAAATGTGCTTGACACAATGGATGTATGTATGTTTTGTGATAAGAGTGGTATGAGCC